AAAGTATTGAGAAAATGGTCAACTGATTAACTAATCATTGAATATGATTTTTTTTTTTGAATATTTAGATTCGAAGCTCCCGATTAATTGATTAAGATGAGTTATGTATTATTGAATATGATCAGTAAATTATTGTTTCCAACAACTATTTTGCCCATTTTAGAAAAATATGTAGGAAATGTTCTACTGATTAACTAATGACTGAATATGATCATTAAATCATGTCAATAATTATCAAATATGTTGATACTTTTTTAGTTGTTGACTCAGATGTCAAGAAAAAAAAAGTTTGTTATTTTCATAGTATAATAGGTCTAAGTGTCCTAAAAATTTAAATAATGTATTCATGACTTAATTTACAGTATATTTGATATTATTTTAATAATATTGTATATGAATAAAGTTGAGTTTCTCTTTAAGAAAATTCCCTTTTATATTTAGTCATATTTTAAATTATTGAGAAATATATTGATATTTAGCTCTTATCTATAGGCTTATATATATCTTTTGGATCATTCAATAACAAGTGGTTTGTGGGATTTATTGGTGTTAGCCAGTCTTTATGGGTGTTAGCCACCCATTCCTCATAATTTAGTAAAGTATATATAAGAATATGTTATTCCTGTGACATCTATATATTATTGAGTAGGTAGGCTCTTTGTGCATGATACGTAGCTTAATCACTCATATAATCTCCATTTTTTTCTTCTTTATTTTCTCTTTTTTTTTTTGTTAATTGAACAATTGCTTTTGTTACGTTCACTTTCATCTACTGTCTTTCACAAATTGATTTAAATGTGAGGCAAGACGTCGGCTTAAATTCATTGATCGATTGAACTTGAGCTTGGACTCAAATTTAACTAATTAGTCAATCTTAAGCTTCATTCAAGGGAAGCTCAAACTCGAATATACTCTTTTACGATCCTACCCAGCTCTTGCTAACCCCATGCAATTACAATAGTATCTTTATCACAACCCCATTTAACTAAACTTACTTAGTTTACTGGCTAATTGGCAGATTTGTTATTTATTAGCCCTAACTAGAATACTTTTCCATTGAAAATGTACAAATTATTTTTTACTTCACCTTTATTTTTCCCTTCTGGTCCTGATGTGTCATAACTCTTCGATTGCATGAAAACTCTGCAGATCTTGTGCTTGAGCTATAAGGGCAGTGGAACAATCTACTATTGCAGAAATTTGGAATAATTTAGCTCTATCGACTTTCATATGAAATATTTATGCTCTTAAAGTTTTTGTTGTATGTATGGGAATTTTACTACTTAGAAGTGAATTTAGTCTTGAGGTGACAAAAATCCTATATGGAATTCATTATTGAACTCCTAAGAATAATTTCTTCTTATTATTAATTTTATATTGAGACTTTGTCATTTTGATCATAAATTTCAGAAGAGCACAGATCTCTGTATGAAATTAATGACGATAAGAAGTTTCTTACGAGATGGGACCTTTTATGAGGAATTCCATATATTACGTCTGTGTTCTTGTTTCCCACTTGTTGTATATATACTTTTAATTAAAAACAATCAATAAAATGTACTATGATGTTGCTTATTTGTGTTAAATTCATGTAATTTGGTCTATTTTTATAATATTTTGTTGTTGGACTCTTATAATGTTTGATGCAACTTTAAAATGTTATTTGCAGATGTGAACAAATTATTTTCTAAATTTGTTGCTCATGCACATGAATGTGAATACTACATTTAAAAAAAAAAAACTCATGAATTTATTTCAAATATGAAGATTTTGCTATATACAATGCAACAAAAATAAATTATTAATGTAATTGTTACAATGGGGGATTAAATAACTTGAAAAAGAAATGGCACCATGCATGATTAAGAGAAATGCATGACAAATCAACACAAAAAATAAAGGAAAATGTAAATTGGTGGACATTGAGATTTGCATTATTTTATTTTCAATCAAATCTACACTCATGGGAAAAAAAGTGAATACATGATTAACTAGGAAAAAAAAGAGAGAAGCAACAATTACAGACTAAGATTTCATTTGGGATAGCTTTCTAGCAACTTTCTAAAATTGCTTTTAGCACAAAAATTTCTAATTAAACAATTTCTATGCTAAAAAACTGCTTTAGAAAGTAGTAAGAAAGCTGTTTCAAACAAAACTTAAGGCTTCATTTGGGACGGCTTTTTTATTGCTTTCTAAAACAGAGTTTTAGTACAAAATTTTTTAATTTTTGTGCTAAAACTCCGTTTTAGAAAGCAATAAAAAAGTCGTCCCAAATAAAGTCTAAGAAATAAGACCACTCATTAATAATTTCTCAAGCCCAAAATACGAACTCACAATTAAGTAAGATACTCAAACAATTTCTTACATTTATACCATCCAGCATGATATGGTCAGGCAAAATCCTCATTAATGCCCCTTTGTCAATGTTGTATTCTTACAATCTTTAACCAAGAAAAATCAAAATTGAGAGATGTGCATTCCAATAAATCCTCATTGATCCCCTTCTACACCAAGCTGTGGAAGCCTCCAAATATAATTTGAGAAACCCTAGAAGCTAAAACTCCATATATATATATATAGCTTCATAAGTCTCTAACTATATATGAGTATACGCCTTGCTTCTTTAGGCTTAGTTTGAGACAATTTTTTGACTACTTCTTAAAATAGTTTTTTATTCCAAAAATCAAAATTTTTGTATTAAAAAAATATTTTTAAGAAGCATTAAAAATCTGTCTCAAACAAAACCTTAATCTCACATGAAATTCTAAACCTATAGTGTATATTCATAAACACATTCAAGAAATAAAAGCATAGATGATAGATCCCAAGATATATTTCTTAGTTCAATTTCTTAGTTTTAAATTAAAAAATTCAAATTTTTTTAGAATATTTATTTTTTAAATGTAGAATTAATTTAAAATTATTAAAATATATAATATAATACTAATTTAAATTAATTATTAAATATATTTAATTTAATTGAGCAACTTAAGGAGCTTTTGAGGGTATTTGTGATGTTTTCTGTAACAAATTTGTGATAGACTTAACATGCTTCCAAAAAGTGCAATGAATTTTCTTATAAATCCATTACAATATGTCATCATACTACTAAAATAAAAAATGTGTCAGTGATAAAGTAGCCACCAAAATTACTTTGAATTAACCATGGGCTTACTCCATCGCAAAGAAGTTGTAATATTTTGCAACACATTACTGAGAAAATGTTCATGACAAATTTGCTGCCGCAAAATTATACCGTCGCAAAATGAATTTATGACTAAGGCTTTTGCAATGAACTTTTTGAGATGAAAATTGAAAAATCTATCATAAAGTTCCTTGTGATAGATTTTGGCTATTTGTGATGAACATAATGCATCTCAAATCAACAAAAATGTAATAGTGTGAGGAAAATGAATGAAATAATGTTGAAAGGTGAGAGAGGTCATGTGACAAAAACCTTGGAGTAAAGATTGGCCATGATATTAAAAGGTCATGAAGGTCATTGAGGATGCCTATAGTAGAAAGGCCCTCATCCTGAAGGTGAGAAAGAAAAAAAATCTCAAGTAATTGTCGAGATTTTAAAATGATGGTCGAAGATTCAAAATCATACTATGATTTGTAAGTTCAGAATGCCCCAAATGAAATGGATGGAGTTATTTTTATAGATTTTGAAAGTGATATTTAGGTTTGAAATATGAAGAAATACTCCTTATACTAGTGAAAAATGAATGGACTGAATTTTGTCTTTCTGGGTTCTAAAAATGATTACATGATCCCGCTCATGTGCTAGTTTGATTGGCCTACTTAGGCTAGAGGTGGTTGATAATTGCAGTCCAATAATAAATGCCATTTATAATGTCTATGATTGTTGAAGAGAATGGCTATAATAGATTGCTTTTTGCTATATCAAAATATGCTTCCTAAGAGCAACAGTTCACATTATGTGAAATAGATGCATATAAAGGTAGTAAGATCACCTATACGTTGAAATTTATATTTGGTATATTACATTTTGCGATCAGACATTATTGATCGGAAGTCAATGACCAATTATTATTGATAAGATGGTGAGGACTTCTCATATGCACATTATATGTGACCTATGGAATATAAGTTAGCCTAATCTAAGCTAAGTAGATTCATATCAATTCAAGCCCCGTGATGCTCATATTCTGATGCTTTTGGAGTGGTTGAATTGTTGTGATAATAAGATATTTTTGGAGATATTTCATATCATGCTAAATTACTTATGGATTAATTTAGAACAAAAAATATAACTAGCTAAATCTCTTTTCATTAATTTGATGTATGTGTGTTATGCTAAGAATATTATCCGATTTATTATGAATTTTTATGATAAAAAAATGATAATATTTTATAAATTTTGCTACACATATAATATGATCATCTTCAACCGAACTGCATACCATTGTATGCAGTCTGCGAATCGCTGCATTCAAACTCCAAATCTCACGTAAAAAATCGGTAGATGAACAGTGCGACTTCAATATTGGTGTCGGACTGTTTACCTACGACAAAAAAAAAGAGATTACTTTTGCACTTTGCTTAGTTTCGTATGAAGGGCGCGAAACATGAGAGAGATGATTACCTTAGCAAAAGCAGTGCGCAAAAAAGAAAAATAAAGTTGCATTGGAGATGAACTGCTGCATTTTGAAGTTTTACGATATTTTAGAGTATAAAATGAGGCCTTTGATTGGAGATGCCCATAAGAAATATATGATATTTTTATTGATACTAAGTAAAAGTTTGCTAAAAAAACAAAAGATTAATTTCATTGTATTGAAAAATATTTTACACCCACCACTGGTTGTCTTGGTGGTGAAGAGCTGGCTGGCCATAGGCCAGGTACCGAGTTCGAATCCCATGGCAATTTGTGCAAAGCCTTAAGTGTTGGCCCGGATGAGTATGGGGTGGGTTGTCCGCTAAGTCGACCGGAAAGATTAGTGGTCGAAGGCTGATTCTCCCGGTACAAAAAAAAAAAAAAAAAATTTTTACAAGCATTTTGCAATCCCCACTTTTGGCAACCAAGAAAAGGGCTCGAGGGGCGATGAGGCCCGTGTCCGTTTCTTCCTCGTCCCACGCTTCTTTTCCAAGGTAATCAAACTTAATATCTTGAAAAGTTACATTTTTGTTCAGCCCTCAGCGCTTAGCTAAACTATCTGCTTAATTGATGAAGATTTTGGGGGAAATCTGGAGCTCTTAGGGTTTCTTCCGAGCTCGCTTGCGTCGAAGTAAGCCTTCCTTCTTCTCCCAATTCCTTCCTGTCCTGTCACTAAGATAGCTGGAAATCATTACTCTTGTTGCTTTTCCTACGCATTGAAATCTGCATGCCACCGTGTATTTTACGTTAAAGAATGTAATTTTCGTTGGTTTAGGACAATTCCATTTTGGTTGTTGAGTGATTGAAGCTATGCAAAATTGCATTTGTTTTATTACAAGGTGAAGAGGGTGTGTTATAGACCTCCTGGAACCCAGCATAGCCTATTGAATGATGTCAGTTTATCACTACCTTTAAAGAGGTAAATTTATCAAGTTTTACAGTCATACTTCCATTTTCTTCACTTCTGATTTTGTACCATTAAAGTATAATTTGAATGTATTTTCCTCTTTATTCACTGATTAAGTATTTAATTTGGTGGTTGCAGTTTTGGCCTTGTATTCGGAAGAAGTGGAAGTGGAAAGACCACACTTTTACAGGTTCTCCTTGTATTTATATGCCACATAAATATAATTTTATATTTTTATCTTCATTTTTTATATAAACCATGTTCATATTTTTTTTTCTTAGATTCTTGCTGGACTATCCACACCTACGTCCGGGTCCATTTGTGTTCAGCAGTATGGAGATGATGGAAGTCCAAAACAACCACCTGAAACATTATTACCTGAAAGAGTTGGCATTGTATTTCAGTTTCCTGAGAGGTATTAACAGCTTCTATGGTTTCTTGAGAAATTTTTTGTCCTCCAAAAGTTACATGATTCAACTCACATTCATAAGAACAGTCATATCTATTTCTGATATTCTAATTTGGATTTACAGTAACTGCATTTCTGCTTCTCCAAAATCTTGAAATTTATGCTAGTTTTCTGCTATAATTGGTAGAGAGTTGACTGCTTTGAATTGGAAAGAAATTGTAGTTTTATTCAGATTTTTCTAGAAACAATATTTTTAATTCGTTTGAAATTCTTGTATAGTTTAGTTGTTAAACTTAGTTTCTTAAGGAGAATGCTAGTAAACTTGGCATATTTATATTCATAAAATCAAACTTTATTTAATATGGAACTTAATTTGTATTAAAATCTTGTTTAAATATTTAGAAGTGAACTTACAAAAAGATAGACTGCCCATTTAATTCTGTGAATCAATGACTGAATGTTTATCTTGCATATTTTGTGAGCTCTCTATTGTTTCTACAACTCTTCTCTGACTATCAAGGAAATTATCAGCCAGCTAGATAAATAGAAATGGAGTCCTAACTGAGCTTATTTAAATTTATTGCTTCTTAAAGAACTATTTGCTTCTTCATCTTCATTTTCTACTTCAAAACATGGGTGTTAGGTACTTTTTGGCAGACACAATACTAGAGGAAGTCACTTTTGGGTGGCCAAGGCAAAAAGCAGACTTTTCAACAAGAGAGAAACTTGCCTCAAACCTTCAATATGCATTTAGTGCGGTATTCTCTTACCTCATCTGTTTGCATATTACTAAGCCACAATGAGATGGAAAATTTTCTCCAATTGTTTAAAACGACAAAAGAATTCCATTTGAAATAGGACTGATTTCGAGTAGGGATTAGCTTGGCTAGAAATCAGAATTTTTCTTGACCCTAATTGACTCTTGTTTATCCATATAGGTTATTAGTAAGCTTTCCTATTAGTTTATTTAGATAGATTTAGGACTTCTATTTAGAGTGGTTTATTTAGATTGATTTAGAACTTCTCTTTGTGGTGGTTTATTTAGATTTATTTAGAACTTCTCTTTATTGGGAGTTGGATGTATTTGGGTTTAAGAGATCTCTTTTGTTTTGTATGCAGTTGTGGTTTCTTAGTAGTTGATCGATTCTCTCCTCACCATTTTATGATGTCTTATTTTTTTTCATATTTGATATGCATAACTTGATGTCTTATTTTTTTTTCATATTTGATATGCATTACTTAGTGCTTTATTTTATTATGGTTTACAGTTTAGGATTTAGGGTGTAGGGTTTGTGATTTTAGGTTTAGGGTTTGGGTTTGGGTTTGGGTTTGGGTTTAGGATTTTATTGATATTGTTATGGATATTGTTGTGGTTGTTATGAATTAACATAATGCACTATATTCTTCTTATACTTTATTTTTATCTTTTCTTCTTATAAGCTATGTTATGTCAACAACGCTGTGATGTAAACTTTTTCTCACACTATTATCATAAAATTTACAGCGCACAATACTAATTTAAAATAAAGTATAAGATTTGTTGCATATAAGGGGTATAAGATTAGCTATTAACTAATTTTTAACCATAGAATTAGTCAATATTTAGATCAAAGAATATTATAAATCAGATTCAAATTTGTTTTTTAATCAAAATAAAGATGTTTATTGCTTGAACTATAACTTGATTGAGGGTATGGAAAAAAAAAAACGTAAAAAGGGGTGAAAACTTGCCCATTGTTAAGGCTGGGTGGTTTTTATAATGGAAGAAAGTTGTCTGACAATACTCATATCTTAATGCAAAATATATTTTCAAAATTTTTAAATTCACACGGAGACTATTATTGTATATAATATCTTAAATTATATTAATTTAATATAAATTAAAAAACTTTAAAATTCATTTTAACATTTTTTTTATTTGTTTAAAACATAAAAATTGTTTCACATCATTCCAATCAATTCAATATCTTATCTAATTTATATTGTACTCTTCTAATAATTGCGTTTTTATATAAATTACTATAAATAACCAATTTGAAAATAATTTTTATTTTTTCTTTATTATAAGTTTTTGACAAATTGTAAATTAATTTTAAATATTTAAGAGTCAAGTAAAAAGAATAAAGTGAGACACAATTTCAAAATGAAGTTCTCATTATTTCTTAATCGATTTAATATATTTAATATAACTAATATTTAATGTTTTATTTTTATTTATTTTTGTTCTTTTACCTTAATGTTCTAATTTCAAATATTGTAATTTTAAACAAATTATTAATAAGCACTTTAATCAAATTTTATTTGAAGAAGTGTTGTCATTTAATTTTTAAATCTATTATGTTATTAAAATCACATAATAATTTGTTAATTTATCATTCTAAAATACATTTGATTTGAATTCACTTGAAAATCAAATTGAGCCAATCTATAACCACTCTTGATTTTGTTCTAGGTCAGATTGAATCACTTTGAGCTAAACTTAGGGCATAGGTCAGATCAACTCAAGATCAAATTGTTAATTGTCTCATAAAAAAATATTCTAAAAATAAATGTAAAAGAAAAAAAAAAGATTCTAATTTTGTTTTAATTGTTGTATAATATACATAATTTTTATTTCTTTTATTACCTGTGCATTGTACTAACACCATTGGGTTATTTTTCTGCATTTTCATATGCATTTGTATTATGATTTTGTTGTTCACTACTCCAAGTAACGATCTTAGTAGCATCCCCTTGAATTAGTTGAAACTTTCTTTCATTATTTGATTGTTGCATCTTCAACTTAGGTTGGTCTCCATACAATCTCCCTTGAAGAGAATCCACAGTCGCTAAGTGGTGGTTTCAAGCGACGTCTTGCCTTAGCAATTCAATTGGTAAGATTCTTTGAGGTATCTTATGTTGACTTTAATGGTGATTTTTCAAGTATTATATGCAATTGTTCTGTTTTATTTGTGTATTTCTCAGGTTCAAAAACCGGCTGTCCTGTTACTGGATGAGCCTCTTGCTGGGCTTGGTATGCAGTTACTCTAATCTTAAATTCTCTTTTAGATGTTGATTGCAATAAGGGAGGATTGAATATTGTTGGGTGTTGGGATAATTATTTTTATAAAGGCATTGCTAGTTTTTTTCATGTCAAAAACTGGCAGAATCGTTTCTGCATTTGTCCTTTTATTCTAGAAATGTAGTTGGCATTGGTTGCCCATGAAACCTGTTAGGGTGACATACCCGTAGATGTATAAGTAGTGATATTGTATGAAAATTTGGTCCAAGGCAAGAATTTGAATCACTTGGATGGTGTCTCCATCACAAAGCTGAATAAATATTTTCTGATCCCCTGCTTGTTACTTTATGCTTGTCCATCCAACTTTGAATGATGTGACCTATTTTGGCTTAATGTAATTCCAATAAGTTGGAATGATTCTTGTCAAAATCTCAGTCATCCCTTGGCATTTGATCCCACGGTCAGGATGAGAATCCGTGGGAGGCTCACCAGGATCACGCCAATATCCTTCTATATTTGGGTAGTTGAATTAGGAAGGATTATATTGAGGCAATTATGTATCAATTAGAAGTTATTTATTTCTTTATTAATACATCTCGTATAGATCTATAAATAGAGAAGATAGTAATGAATAAAGTACGCTTTTCCCTCTCAAATTCCCTGTTTTAACGTGGTATCAAAGCCAACGGCCTTAATTGCCGAACGATCCTAGATCGTCGGAGGAGGAAGAGAAAAGAAGAAGCTCGGGGGCATCCGAGACTTGATCGCTGCCGACCCATATACACCGGATGGGACGAGCAACTCGATCAGAACTTCCGATCGGAACTCCCGATCCAACAGAAAGGGAAAGTCAACGAAGGAGAGAAGCAGTCCGCTCGATTCCCCCTTCCGATCGCACATCCCAGACGATCCACGCCTGCGACTCGCGGGATGAAGCCAAGCCCGCGTGCGACTTGGGGTGTGGAACCGCAACCCGTGCCCTACTCCAATCCGAGCCTTTTTTTAAGGCTAGGTCGGTTCGATTTAAAAAAAAAACTTTTTTAGTTAAAAAAAAGGAAGGAGAGAAAATCTTTATCATCGACCTTTATTGTCGACAAGGAAAATTTTCTCCGAGAAGCCTTCATTGCTGAATTTATGAGGAATACAAAGTTCCCACCACCGGCCTTCATTGCTGGAATTCTGATAAATACATGTTCCCACTACCGGCCTTCATTGCTGGAATTATGAGAAACACAGGTTCCCACTACCGGCCTTCATTGCTGGAATTCTGAGGAATATAAGTTCCCACAACCGGCCTTAATTGTCGGAATTTTGAGGATAGTTTTCCATCATCGGCCTTCATTGCCGGCTTTCTCTTGTGGTTGATATCCTATCTATAACCAATGCAGCTCTTCCTCTGAGCGAGTAATTGCAAGCTGGTCTCCAGCTTGAGGGGGAGTGTCAAAATCTCAGTCATCCCTTGGCATTTGATCCCACGGTTAGGATGAGAATCCGTGGGAGGCTCACCTGGATCACGCCAATATCCTTCTATATTTGGGTAGCTAAATTAGGAAGGATTATATTGAGGCAATTATGTATCAATTAGAAGTTATTTATTTCTTTATTAAGACATCTTGTATAGATCTATAAATAGGGATAATTTTGTATAATAAGTACAAGGTATTTTTACCCTTCTCAAATTTTATGAATCTATTTTCCCTCTCCAATTCTGTGAATTCTAACAGTTATTTTTAGAAAGAACTCATGCAAATAGGATTAATATTTTGACACGATCATCTTTGGAATGTGATGGACCGACCGATTTGATTGATAGAGAATTATGAAATTTCCTAATCAAGAGAGAGCTGTTTAGGAAGGTTCTTAATCAAATGGGAATTATTTATGAATGTTTTAATTACAATTTGGAAGAAATTATTTAGGACAAGAGATCTAATTTGAATTCAAAATCTAAGAGGGAATTATTTAGGGAGGAGGAATTATGAGGGATTATTTAGGAAAATTTTAATTATAATTGGGAGGGAATTAATTAGGAAAATAAATTGAATTTGAATTTAAATTTGAGAGAAAATTATTTAGGAAAGGGGGCTAATTTGGGAAAGAATTATGGGAGCCTATTTAAGGCTAACAAGAGAATGATTTCTTGATTATGTTTGGAGTTTGCTGAAATTAGAATTTCTTAGGTTGTGAAGGCTCTAGCCGCCGGCTAGGGATTTGGGAGAGCCAGATCTTCCTCTTTAATTGAAGATCCAATTGTATATTGTTATTTTCTTTCATATATCTTGCAATAAAAAGAGTTTGGTATGTTCTTCCTAAATTTTTTGTGCCGTTTGATTTTGCTGAAATTGCATCAACTTCCTATCAAAATGCATGTAGTTTGAAAATATTTGAGATAAATATTGTGTCCACCGATTAATACATGAGGGTTGAAAAATGTGCATATTTTAAATGTCTATCTACCGCTGCTAAATTAACAATCTTTCCTTGTGATTTAGGTAGCTAGATGATGAAATCTATAGCAACTTCCTCCTATACTGCATGTGGTATTGGTAACTGTTGAAATAAGCTCCCCTATTGTATACTTCTGCACAAAATGCTTAATATCCTTCCTAAATCTTGGCCAACAAATTGAGTAGGGCACTCTTGTCATTGTTAGCCTGAAATCGCCATGTTAGCTTATCAGCCTACAGTGCAGCTCTGATAATATTATTCTTGAAATCTAATATGGAAGATAAAACAATTCTATTTTTATAGTAAATCAGTCGATGTTGAAGCCAATGAGAATGAAACTTGTCCGGTTCGCGGTGTATGTTCGTGATAAAGTTGTAATGCACCCTATTGACTATCTTAGCTGTTCTAATCACTCTGTGTCTGCTGCGTATAAGCTAATAGAGCGTGGTTTTGCCATTTGGATTTGCAAACTCAAATTTTCTAGATAATGCTTCAGCAACTTAATCGGATATTCCAGGAGTATAATCCATGGTATAATTAGAAACAAGTAATTTGACCAAAAATCATTATTGTTCAGGTCTTTGAATAATCACTTGTTACATAAGCTAAAAAAATACTGTGTTGGTTTGTTCAAATGAGAAAATGCTTACCTAATAAAAATTATCGCCAATGACTAACCATTGTTGGCGATATTATATAATTTCTGGGCATGTGTAGAAGCCTTTTTCATTGTCGGTGGCAACTTCATGCTAAATTATGTTAAGAGGGTGAGCCTATTGGACTAAGACAATGCCAATTACTATGCTAGGAGTGTCAATCTCCACACTAAATGATAATAAAAAATCTAGAAAGCCTAGTCTTTGCAATGATGTCGGTATCTTTCAAAGCATCAAATGTTAAATGTGCCTATTTGAACAACCGAACTTGTTGCGGGCTAATAGTGTTGTCAATGGCTCCTCCATTGCGGCATAGTGTTTGAAAAATTTGTGATAATAGCCTTTTATTCCCAAACAAAACTTAACAATTATTTTAAAGATTTGAGAATCAACCATCATTGAATTGCTTCAATCTTCGGTGGTTATTCTATTACTCCTTGTTGGGAAATGATATGACCTAAATACTCAAGCTATTTTACACAAATGCATATTTCATTTGACATTGTAATACGGAGGCAAAGGCAACAACCCCAACGGTTGATTTGTTGGGGTCTAGTAAGGATCTAATTACTTATGTTTGGAGGGGATTAATTAGGAAATGAATTTTCTAATTTAACTTCAAATAAGAGAGAAAATTAATTAAGCCAGGAAGGCTGAATTAAGAGGAAAATATATTAGGAAAGAGGGCTAAGGAGGTGGGAATTAGGAGGGAAATATATTAAGAAAGGGGGCTAAGGAGGTGGGAGAGCTTATTTAAGGGGAAGTTTAGAATTATTTTGTTTTATGCAGAATTTGAGTTGTGTTTCTGTATTTTTATTTTGTGAGGGCTTCCTAGCAGCATCTAGGGTTAGCGGGAGAGATGATCTACATCTTTAGTTGTAGATTGATAATATCTTTAATTTTTTTTGTCTTGTTATTAATAAAAATCAGCAACTATTCCCCATTTGATTTGGGCTTATTTTCTTTGGATTTCTTGCTATGGTTTGTTGTTTTTGTATCCAAGGCACATCAAATTGGTATCAGAGCAGTGTCCTGGGTTGAAAACTTGAAATTTAAGTCCTCATCGCTGATTTATGCTATGTTTTTTCAGCCCGCCTTGCTAATTTTGCTGTTTGATGGTCACAGTCGCTGTTTTTTTTTTTTTTAAGGTTTTAAACCTAAATCCTTTAAAAGACAATAAAGAAGATGGAGGTGTTGGAAGGAGAGTTGGAACAATTCAGGGCCATAATGGAGGAACAATATTGTGGTATTGAGGGGAAGTTCACGACGGTGGAAGGATGGTTGTCATCAATGGAAAATCGATTTGAGAACATGAAAGGCATGCTGAGGAAATTAATTGAGATGTAGTCGAAGGCTTCACCGGCTAGTCCTAGGATTGATCTGAAAGAAAAGAGATTCTAGGAGGATAATGATGAAGTAGAGATAGTTTTCCCTCAAGAACCATCCCACCGGGCGAGGTGCACCAAGGTATCCCAAAGAAGGGATGAGAGGAAAGGCTAAAGTGGGCTGGAGACCACCTAGGCAGCAGGGATGGTGGGTCGGAGGAAGCCATGGTGGACCAGAACCATGGGATTCAAATCAACCAAGGGAGGAAGGGAGAGAGTCGTATCATCAGTTCACGGGAGGGGACTAACAGAGGAAGAAATAATTGGGGTATGGATACCATATCAAGGAAGTTGAAAATGTTGGCCTTTGAAGTAGAAGACACTCAGTGTTGGGTGTATCGAGTAGAGCATTACTTTTCTATCAACAGGATGATTGAAGGGGAAAAACTCACAACGGCAGGTCTATGTTTGGAAGGGAAAGCCCTAGCCTGATTCCAATGGAGGGAGGCTAGGTATCCGATCTACTTCTGGGGAGAATTTAAGGAGTGCTTGTTGGAATGTTTTCGAGCCATTCGGGAAGGAG